CTGCTGTAATACTGTGATGTCTAACTCATGCTCTAGTAATATGTCATATGGCTATGCCAAGTGGTTCTTTTCAGACCTGGAATTTTTGAGCATGTCCCACCAGAGCTGTGCAGACCATACGGCAACAGCAGGCTGATGCAGCTGATCATGGTTTATTGCCATGGAAAAGGTGGCCTGCTCCACCCTGTCTTACTGGCCATTTCCCTTGAGCAGGCTTGAAGGGTCATCAGAAGCACTGGGAAACTGATCTAGTTCCTAACACATTAACTCAGGGAAAAAAGTCCCAAACATTAAAATAGGAGTGTCTCCATGTAGAATTAAGCAGTCATATCAGCTTGTGAGGGCCAGGGCTGCCGGAAGAGAGGTCTGAGAACAGTGCACCGCACGGGTGGGAGCTAGGAGGTGACGGGGGGGCGGGGGGAAGAAGTCGTCTTCTTTCTCTTGTGTCCCGCCTGCCTGTACCCTTGAGCACCAGGGCCTGTTTGTGCACAGTGGATGTCACACCAAGGTGCGCTGCAGCCAGGCGCTATCTCACACACAGCCCCTAGTAGGGGGCCTCGGTGTCACTCCTGTCCCTGCAGTTGCCAAGGCACTTCCACTCTCCTTCAGTTCCTGCCTGCCCCCTCCAAACACGAAGAGTATACTCTGGCCAAGACTTCATCCAGCCCCCAAGCTTAACCTATCACTCCACAGCACAGATACCCGGAGACGAACAGCAGGCCACGGCGTCCTGCTTCGCGGATAAACGTCTCCGCCCAGAGTGGTGGTTCTGGAAGAGCTGTGTGGCATGGGAGGGCGGAGGGACAGACCCAGTAACGCGGCCGGACCTGGCCGGGCAGCCAGCCGAAGAGGAGCTGCGCCGGGAGCTGCGGCCCTCACCGCGCTGCCGAGACGCAGCGATACTGACATCACCGGGGTCCCCGACTGAGGGACGGAGGAAAACGAACATTTCCGCCCCGCAGCACGAAGGGGCAGCACCGCCGCTGCCCGACCTCTCCTCCTCGGCCCGCCGTGGCCCCCCCGCACCCCGCCGCGACTGCGCGGACCGCCGGCAGGCGGGCAGCGCGCGTTCGCGCCGGCAGGGGGCGAGAACCGCGGCAGTGGCCAGCACCTGCCGGCAGGTGTTGGAGCAGCGGGAAAGTGGCCGAGTTACGCTGCGTGCGGTGTGGTGCTGGGCGTCCCGCGGCTCACACCACCTCTCCGCTGGCCTCAGCGGCATCGAGGAAGCCTTTGAAGAGCAAAAGAATATCGGAAAATTATTGCGCTCTGTCATAAATAAGTAATCAATAAAACCGCGTCATGCCGGTAGGTAAAAGGCACTACACTTTTCAAATTTCTCATAAATCAAGCAAACAGATAGGTTTCTTAACCCTTCCCCTAGTGAATACTCTGTACCTCAGGCAGACTGCTTTCACTTTAAAATAAATAACTTTTAGAAGGTGATTGTTAAAGCAACACACACTTGATCAAACTGATCAGATCATTTGAAGGAAATTGCAGATACTGGATGCTATTCATTTAACCGTGGAGAACCAGCAGATACAATTTGTTGCTGTTCAAAAAAAACCCCCACCAAACAAAAAAACGATTAGGATAGCACACTGAAAGGATAATTTGCTCCACTTGGGCATACTGGCGACCTTTAAATTAACTGTAAGTACTCACAAACAAGACTGAGATGTATTTGAGCACTGTGAAAACATCTTCCCAGTGCAAATGGCAATTGAAAAGCACTTACAAGATATTCCATTGCTTGAGATGGGATGCTGACTGAAAATCCTGCAATGTAGCCATACACAGTCTGCTCTTTCACTGTCACACAACTACTGAGTTCATCAGAAGCTGTTTGGAATCTGTCAGAGCATCACAGAAAACTTAGCTCAAGCAGAAGAGGCAGAGGAGAGCAATGATAAGTATCTTCACGCATGAAGAAGGAAGAAATTAAAAACTGGGATAGATCAATGTGAAGAGTGATATGAAGACAGTAAGAACAAGCCGTGGTCTCCCGATCTTTGCTGGCTCTGAGCAAAGAGCACCAGAGATGCAGGGTGTCCAGTACCATAATTTGCTCTCTCTATTAGCCCCCCTTTCAATTTACTGTGCTGGTAAGCAACGTTAAAATGTCTCACAGGCAATGGGTTGCGCTGAGCCATGTGCTGGATACTACCTGGATAGAGGAATATGAGATTATTAATGCTACAGGGGAGGCTTACCAGGAAGTATCTGTCCAGGATTAGGTGACAGCATGGATAGTATTAATGGATAATAATTACCTGTATGAGCAATAATGGGGTCTGTCATTTACTGATAATTATCACTAGGATAAAATATTTATGAAGACTCTTCCATTGTATTTTATTTTATTTTAAATAAAAGCCAACCATTATGGAGTTGAGGGTTGGAAAGAAATTTCCTTGTAGGTTTGTTGTGTAATTTTTTCATAATGGGGTTCTTTTGAGTTCCACCAAGTCACAAAGCAAAATGGGCAAAGCAGTATGTAATGGCTCTCTGCCGATGCCAGGTTCAGGACTAGATTGCTTATCTATTAAAAATCCGGAGATATTGGAGATTTAAAATCCAATTATGTCAATGGCAGTGGCACACATGGATTAAGTTTATGGTCCCCAGGGTGTCTTTTCTTATTAAAAAGGCAAAATTAAATGACAGTTCTGCATTTGTGGTACACACTGTTTGTGACTTCTACACCGAGCATATCAAAGGGTTAAGGAAGTTGAGTCACACCTCATCTGCTGGGGAATGCTACAGTATTGTGTGAGGTATGCAGTCTTTAGTAGAAACACATGCCCTCAGTTCGGGTGTGGATTTTGATACAGTTCACCCAAAGGCTGAAAACTCACCGACCCATTTGGACCCTTTCTTCAGACATGATGCCTGAAGATGGTTTCTGCAAACTTGGGTTTGGGCACAAAACATCCACTGACTGTCTCTTGTGACCTGTACCATGCACCCATCCTCACACTTTTGAGCCCCGGCTTTAGAAGAAAATTGTGGTATGTTGAGAATTAATTTCATGAAGAAATACCCGCTTCCCTCCTTTTGTTACATTTTACATTAGATTTTCTAATTCGATCTTTAGAAATCTTCATTGGATTTAAAAATAATGCATTCATGTGAGACCACAAGGTATACAAAAAAATACATAGGTATACCAACACGTGGAGAAAAGATGCGATTCTTCATAGAGAAGATGCTTCAAATGAAATATAATTTATTATTAATACCTGGACTTGTGCAATTTTAACCAAAACTCATGTATTAATTTACTGGAATAAAGAAACATAATTATAAAAAAGATTCAAAGTTATACTAGCTGGTTTTATACACTATTATACATTAATTACTATACTAATTAATACAGTATAGACCTAAGTGGAAATCATGACCTTTTTTTCATGCTCTAAAACCTGTTTGAACGTTTTACTTTCCTGACTATTTTATTCTCCATTTTTAATTCCCTCCTAGTCTTTATATAATTCACATTGCCAGTATACGCGGAGAGTTTTAGCAAAGCGCTGGTGAATTTCGAAGCAGGTGGCAACAGGTGCTGGGAAGGACATCGCGCTCCATGCTGTTAGATGGAGAACAATATGCCCCTCTAGCTGCTAGAGAAGCTGGTCCCAGTTTCCCAGCACATTCTCCAACATTCCCAAATACAAACGGTTTCATATGGAGGTGTTCAAAGGAAGGGCAGGTGTGGGAATTTTGCGAGGGCTTTGTGAATCCGCAGAAACTGGAAGCTGCGTCCATCAATACATCCCGCCAGGCTGCGTGCGGGTCATCCCGGGGGCTGGGGCAGGCAAGTTATCTTTCCCATATGCCATCCTAATCAGGTTTTGTTTGCTGTGTTTTGTTTTTTTTCTTAACGACAAACACGGACAGCTTTTCTGGGACCTGGGCGAGAGGGACCGGGACAAAGGGTGGCCGCGATCGTACGTCGGCTGAACAGCGCCTGCAGCACAACCGGAGCACAGCCGGCGCCACGCGGGTCAGTGCCCCTCGGGCAGCCTCTGAGGCGTCCCGCCGCTCCTGCGGCCAGCGCCTTCGCTTCCGCGGCGTGCGGCAGCGCCCCTCGGGTAGGGCGTCGGGGATGCGGCGTGAAACCGCGGAGAAGGGACTTCTCCCTTCTTCTCCCTTCTTCTCCCTTCTCTCCTCTCCATTGTCCCGTTTACCGCCGTCCCTGCCTACCCAAGCCAGGTCACTAGGTCTGGCACGGAATAAAAACGCGTTCTCGCGCCTGAAACCGAATGAGGAGAAGGCGCATACAGGCGCTCGGGAAGTCGGTGCCCCGCAGCTCGAGCCGGACGCGGCAGCCTTCCTCGCGGCCATTTAGTATGAAGAGCCACCGGGTCTCTTTTTCAGCCCCTCCTTCTGCTTCCCCCCCCCACCCCCTCCCCACCGGGCTCCGCAGAGGGAGGGCCAGGGCGGCTCTAGGTCGCCGGGCGCTGGGGGGCGCGCTGCTGGGAGGCCCGGCTCCCCCCCGCTTCGCTCCCCCCCAACCCCAGCGTGTGGGGGCAGAGCGGGCGAGGCGGTGGGAGAGGCGGTCCGCCATGTTCCTGCCTCACCACGCCCGCTAAGCCGAACCCTTCAAAAGCCGGGCGCGCCGGGCCTTTGCTGGAGCTCTGTCTTTGTCCCAAGCGGGCCATCGGTACTCTCCCTAGCTCCTGTCTTTACTGGCAGGGAAGGAGCGAGCCGCGGCAACTCTCTGGCAGCTCCCCAGCAGCAGTTCTCCCAGCAGCAGCTCTCCCAACCACAGGGCGAAGCGCCCGCCCCGCCGCCGCGCCGGGAAGGAGCGTCAGCTGTGAGGAAGCGCTTCCCAGCGGGCAGCGGCGGGCTCGCAAAGCCGGCGGGAGCTGTGCTCCCGCCCCGGGGCACGGGGAGCGGCAGGGAGATGCGTGTGCGGGTCGGGGGCGGGATCGACGGGCCATAGCGTTTGCACGGGGGTGGGGTGGTCTCGTCGGAAGGCAGTGGGGGTGTCGGCTGTCGGGGAACGCGGAGGGAGAGCAGCGGCTGCGGGCGGCGGGGGAAGGGGAGCAGGAAAGCAACGGGTGGCGGTGGCGAGCGGCTCGGCTCGGTATCGCTGCTGCCACCGCGGTGCGTGTTTCCATGTTGTTTGGTGCATGATTTAGAGGAGAGGAGGAGTTGGCAGCGGCGGGTGTCAGCGGTAGGGAGCGGAGATCCGCGCCATCAGCGGCCCTACCTCTTTCTCCTCGCCGCTGTGTAGTACCGAGGCAGCTGCCTGCCGCTTGCCCTGCGGCGCCGGGCGGGACTCCCGAGCGAAGAGCGCCTGTGCCCCCAGGGCCGGTGCGGCGGCGGGGTGCGTGTGTGAGAGTGTGCGTGCGATTTTAGGGGGGTGGGGGTTGTGTCTGAACCAGTTAGGAAGAATGACTCTGGAGTCCATCATGGCGTGCTGCCTGAGTGAGGAAGCCAAGGAAGCCCGGCGGATCAACGACGAGATCGAGCGGCAGCTGCGTCGGGACAAGCGGGACGCCCGCCGGGAGCTGAAGCTGCTGCTGCTGGGTGAGTACGGGCTGCCGTCACCCGGATTAGCCCGGCCCGGCCGCCTCGGCTCGGCCAGGGCCGCCGCTGGCAGGCACGCCCCGGGTGCCGCTGGGGCTGCAGTCCCGGCATCGCAGCCGCCGCCCCGGGCTCCCTGCAGCCAGCGCGTTCCGTGGCGGGGCCGGGGCTGCGGCGGGTCTGGCTGGGCAGCCCTGGGCGCTCGGCGTTTTCGCCGCTGGGAGCAGCAGGCCGTGCCCCCGCCGCGGCGGTGTGTATGTGCCCGGCGGCGGGGCGAGCGGCTCCGGCCGGGGCACTTGGTGTGCGCTGGAAACGGCCTTCCAAAATGGAGTGGGGAGGGATAGCGGGTGAGTGGGGGAGAGCGGGGGACATACCTTCGGTGGTGGTGTTTGGAGGAGCGGTGGCAGGGAAGCGGGTTAGCGAAGGGAGTCGTAGGGGAGTCGCTGTACAGATCGATGGTGGAGGGTTTAGTATCTGCATTGTTCTGTGAACCTCGGGAAGGTTGTTGGCTCGCTGGTCCTATTTTTTATTGTGATTTTCATTTAATGAGGTAAACTGGGATAAGAGGCTTACGTTCAGATTGTAGAAAGAGTAGGGAACTGCAAAGCCCGAGATGCACACATGAAGCTGAGGAGTAACCTGAAGTATGCCTGAGGATGGCAGGATCTTTAATACCTTCAGAATCCACCCACTGGTCAGGAAATAAAATCTATTATATCATTTCTCTTTATTTAAAACACAGGTTGTTATTTTAGAGCTGCAAGTATGCCGAGGCAGTGTTTATTTAACAGAAATTTGGCTTATGTTAAAATAAGCCTTTTGAATTAAAATACGTCTGCCTGCACCCACTTTGCTCTACTATGCCGTATAGCTGCCGTGGTAATACAGCTTCTGCTTGGGGACTTGTAGGCCTTGAGATTTGTCTGCATCGCTGTCTGGTGTGTGGATAAGTGGGGATGTTCCAAGTGAATGCGGGATGTTTATGCTGACGATTTTTGTCTTGGGTTATGTATATGAAAGTCGTGATTTATAGGTAGGGGGAGTAAACTGCCTTTTCAGTGAGGTAAAGAGAGTTGAAAGGAAAAGTCAGAGTACATTTTGGTGCTTCCATATGAATATGCTGTTTCTTGCAGCTTGTTTTCTGTATACGGAGAAAGGTTGTTGGGATCCTTAACTGGAGTATGCAGCAAGTGATGGAGACATGCAGTACTCCCAGTAATAACGTTCTGTCTCATTTTGGCTGGGTTTTCATTTGTGGAAGTGCATGTTGTGACTGTTCTGGGATTCACAAAGAAGATAAAATAGGAGATAGATAGCTTGTCTTTGCTTAATTTTATGGATGTTTAATTACCTAATGATACACATTTGCTTCAGGAGAGGTAGTTGGCATATTTGACTTGTTACTTGGGTCCAAATTGTTTCTGTATTTTCCTGTTTTTTCTTGCAGTAGGGCTAGAGGCTTCTCCCGATTTTTTAAAAATGCGTGAAATTAACTGAATCAGATCAATATATATTAACCAGAGAGAGAATTTGGAGATCCCCTCATGCACTCAGTAATGCAGAGCTTTGCAAGGTCCTCCCGCCTGTAATGTGAGGTGTAGGCACAGGTCGAGGTAGATCGGGGTCCGGCTGTGGCATGCAAATGGCATGTAGTGACTTGAGGGAGATCAGGGGAGAAGCCAACCTGCAGAAAGCGTTGGGAAAAACTCCAGTGCCTGTATGAAAAGTTTTTGCGTTCATTATTATCAGTGCAAACCAAGAGTTCTGACACGCTTGTGAGGACATAAGAATAGTGTGCTAGAGACCAAGTGGGGTGAATGTTTGGGTGCTCATACTTAACTGTGTGTCTGTGCAGTGCAGAAACTGTTACTGTGCACACACTTTTTTGGTCCTTCGCTTTGTCAGGCTCTGTCATTGGTCTCAAAGTGTGTGTGTATGTGCAGCTGTTTGGATTAACACTTGATGATCTCATCTTGTAAAATGCAGTATAGTGGTGTGCTACTGTTGGAGTCATGGGATTGGGTAGGGATTCAAGTTTCAATTTATAAACAAATTTTGAGGAAAACTTTTTGTATTAGTGGGTTTATTTTAAGTTATCTGACAGCATTTTCTTTTTTTTTTTTTTTCAGTCGCTCTCACTTGTTCCCCAGCATAGGCAGTTGCTTGACAGTTAAGTTTGTCTTGTTTGTGTGGGTCATTCACATGGTTATGAGACAGAACCATTTTAAAATATGCAAGTAGTCATTAGAAATGGTAAGGGTGGTAGCATGAAAATATCCTGAAATTGTCTGAATTTTTTTCTTTTAATTGGATAGGCCTCTACTGTCTCATTACATGTGTTTCCATCTCAAACTTAAATTACTTGTGTTACTTAATTTTACTGTATGTAAGTGTAGGTGAACGTGGTTTTAGTTTGTGGGTTTGTTTGTGGTTTTTTATTTATTTTTTTTTTCCTCCCTGGAAGTGCCAAGTTCTCACTCCCACTTTGTAAAAGTATTGTAGGACTTGAAAGGCTAAGTGGGTTAAAGGCTTTTGGTTATGACACTGAGGCTCATAAAAAGAGTACTAGTACAGTTTAAGCTGAACCATGTTAATTGAACCATGCATTTTCTTGTTGCAAGTACAGAGTGAAAGGTAATAACTGAAAAAGTTTTAAGGCACAAAGAAGCTTTTCTGTGCCGGATTGTTTTCTTCTATTTATTTAGAAATTAGATGTATGTGCATACAAATGCACAAATGTAGCAAAAAAAAAAAAAAAAGTGCATCAGGAGGTTTTTTTTCTTCCTTGACCTGTGGAAGATACTATACTTTCTTGCAAAGTGGGTTAGTTTTTTTTCTGTTAACTGTGAGACACACACAGACCCTGCTTGGTACACCCTGATTTTGTATTGATGTTGATTTTTTTACTTTTCATGGGATCAGATTGTTCAAAATGTGAAGTCATTTATGGAAAACTTCTCTACTGCATGCAAAGAGTATTTTTAAGTATTAAAGTAGACCCACTCTATGATTAAACATTAAAATGCCATTTTTAGGTACTTTTTATACATCATTGCTTAATTTTTGGAATAGATTACACCAGAACAGAATATTTTTTATTTTTTTTTTTTTTACTATAGTAATTCTAAAAAGCTAGAATCCAGCAGTATGCACTGAAGCATATTACATAGTAGTAGTTTGGCTAGCACAACTTTGCTGTAATGTTTTAAGGTGCTCTGGAACAAGTGCAGTCTTTCACTGAATTTGGTTTTAATCTTATGTGTTTGCCAGACTCTTCTGGATTTCGTTATGGCTGAACAATTCGTAAAAACCCTATGATTGTTCTCCAGAGCTTACGGTTGTTAATATCCACCCATTGTTTGCTGTTAGCTGTAAAAACACTTGCATTGTTTTTAAAACTGGGAAAAGAAAAAAAAAAAGTGTTTTAATGATTTATATTGGTATATGCCAAACAAAATGTACAGCGTTCCGCATGCTTGCATGCATGTTAGGCATGTATGTACATACTTATTGTTAAGTAGCAAGAACCATGTCCTCTAGTTCTTACCATATGTCATTTTGCTTGTTGTTCATGGAAATTTTGCATGGTTTTAGGAAGCAGTATTTAAGCCTGCATGAAAGATAGTAGCCATAAACCTTCAGTCCTGGATACTGTCTGCTTGGAGGCTGTATATATTTATATTATGCACTATCTTCTCAGTGGGAAATGCCTTGAGTATTTAAGAAAATAATCTGGCAGTGTCATGCTAGCTGTCTAGCTGTGCCTGTGTGTGTATATACCTTGGCCAAATAGAGTACTGGAGGTGTGTGATAGTGTTTGCTGTTTTATGGTATGTGTGCTAGTGTGGTGTCATGTGCAAAACATATTTGGGTTTTTTTAAGGGGTGGGTGTTTTTTATGTTTGAGTTAGCAGATGTGTTAGTAAAGAGAGTTGCCTGAGTGTCCTTTTTTAACTCTCTGCATTACCAAAGGAAACAGGTGGAAGATACGCCATTTGAATTAGCATGAATAGCAACCAGTCTTACATGGGAAGAAAGATGCTCTTGAACATAAGGGAGATGTCCAGCAAGCATGCAAGATATGTATGCGTTTCGTACACCTGTATCAGTTGAATTAAAGATTTAGATGTAAAACCTGGTGAATTAGCGAAGACTTAAGATTTTCTGTAGATAAGTTGAAAAGGAAGTAGGTCCCTTTAGCCAATAATGGAATACACTGGTTTTATGTAATGTTTTCTTCAGCTGGAGAAACAAAAGAGGCTACCTTATTTTTCTGGTAACTTGTATCAGTCTTTCTTACACCGAATACTTCAAAATAATTTTAGGTACTTAGGATAGTATGTAACTAAAATGAGCAAATAGTTAACATACATCTTGATAGGTAAATACATCTTATTTATAAGAATCTGTTTCTAAGGAAATACAATTTTCTGGAATAAGAACACCTTGGTACGTCCTCACACAGACATGTCTATAAAACTATCTTTTAAAATTATCATCTGGACATTGATGTGATAACATATAAAGAACATCTATTTAAGAACATATTTAAGGGGTTATTAAAGGGATATATTTTTTGCAGCTGTTAAAAATGTGTTGTTGCTGTTTCAGCTTTACATTTTTAAAAGCGGTGTACACACCCACAGAAAGTAACAGGAGCTAGCTGAGGGCCTGAATAATCAAAGAATTGTAACTAATTTAATTTTATTCATATGTTTGAGAGGCAGGTGACTTCAAATTTATATCTTACATTGATAAACAATATTGAGTTAGTGCAGGAAGGAAAAGTATATGCTGTGCAGAAGACTCTTGAGAATGAACATTTGAGTGGATCCTGACAGTTGAGGAATAATTCTGCTTCTTTAGGTGCTTCAAATTATTTTTGTTGGTTTTCATAGGGGAGAGCATTTCTTTGGAAATAATAAAACAACCTCTGCAAAATTAATCCCAGGTAGCTGTGAAACAACATTAGAAGGTAGATGTGTGATTAATGGTAATTAGCTT